GTTCTTTCACTTGATTTTCAAGAAGGAAAGTCTCAGGATGGGTGAACCTGTATTTCTGGATTCAAATCAATGAAATGACAGTTTCTGTCCCACAAGGTTCTTAAGGTCAAGGGTTTTGACCTTAGGCTTAGTTTTGACATCAGGTCAAGTTCACTACACTGACAACAACATCTCACACTGTAAATGCATGCAGTCAGCTGTGAGATTAAACGAGATTCCATGAAACAACAATATTCATTCTGTTACAACACTAAGGACAGAATGTGTCATGGAACGAGCCGTCACATCACGTAGATAAAAGAGAATAAATGAGTAGGGTGTTGATCACGTGGCCGCAGTACAAATATCCTGCATTGTCATACCATTATGCAAAGCAGTCGAAGATGCAATACCTCTGGTTGAATGCGCCCTGAGGTTGTCAGGAGGCTCTAAATCTGATGCTCTGTAGGCTTCAGAAATGGCCTCACACAGCCAGTGTGACAGGAGCTGGGTGGATAACGGGCGACCTGCAGATGCATCTCTATAATGCACAAACAGATGTTGAGTCTGATGCAGTGCGGCCGTGCGCGCTATGTAGCACGTCAACACACGCACAGGACAGAGAAGATGGAAAGATGCTTCTTCTTCTGATTTGTGGGTGGGGGAAAACCCTCCAACGATATCACTCTTGATTTAAAAGAGCTTGTGATGTTTTTAGGCTTAAACGCTGAATTTGGTCTTAGATCAGCTGAGCTGCCGTCAGCCTGAATTCTAAGACATGACAGAGTGACAGAGAGGGCAGATAAATCACTCACCCTCTTAGTGGATGTTAAAGCCAGCAGCAGGGCTGTTTAAAGAGACAATAATTTAATTGGAACCTGATTCAGTGGCTCAAACGGAGCTTTGATCAGGGCTCGCAGGACCAGCGTTAAATCCCACTGTGGACTACTGGGATTTAAGTGGAAGCCACCAGGAGAGCTGTCAATCCCTCCTCCTGAACTCGGTTCAGAAACTGTAATATCAGAGGAGGTGGGGGGAATGCGTAAAGAAGCGTTTTGGGCCATGGGCTGAGAGCAAACATGTCCACCCCCAGCGATGGTTCATCTCGCGGGCTCAGTGAAAACCATAGTTGACACTGAGCGTTTTCTCGTGTCGCAAACAGGTCCACAGCTGCTTGCTAAATTTCTGCCATGTCTGGGCCATCAGACGGAGGTGGAGGGTCCACTCCCCGTGACGTGGACCGCCCCTGAACATCACATCTGCCCCTTGTTCAGAACACAGGGGATGTACACTGCTCTGATGGAGAGCAGATTTTGGTGTGCCCAACACAGTAGTTTCCTCGCAATGTGTAACATTTGGGCTGAGCGCACACCCCTCTGCCGGTTTATGTAAGCAGCAGTAACCTTGTTGTCTGTGTGAATCAAAACGTGTTGATTCTGCAGCACAGGAGCAAAATGTTGAATTACATTCAAAACCGTGTGACATTCCAGAACGTTTATATGAGCTGTTGTGAGAAAGGCCAAAGCACCCCTATAGCTCGAGATGGGCATGTCACCCCCCAACCTGACAATGACACGTCTGT